GAAATATATATATATATATATATATATACAAAAGTTTTCACAAAATTAAAATATTTGTCAGATTTATCGTACGTTGTTTAAATTGTCTTTTAATATACCCTATCTATTTAAATTAAATTTTTATTTGCAATAATTATTTAATGTATAAAACTGTTTCTTGTCGATTAAGAGTACTGTCAAGGGTTTGCCATAAATGCTTTGAAGCATTTGTAGTGTTCCATTGACCGTAGCTTTTATGTACGATACAAATATGTAATTAATATACATCGCCATATTTCTAAAGATAATACAATTTCTAATATAAAGAATTATATGTATTTATGTTATTAAATTATATATATTTTCTGATATATAAGATAAGCTATATATGAAATTTCAAAATAAAAACTATAATAAAAATTATAACGTACTTTAAGAATTTCATTTGTAAGGGAATTTATATTTTATGTGTATTATTAATACGGTTTTTAAACCATTTATTTCAAATAATTTCAATTTATACAATTGATACAACATCTTGTAAGCTTTATAATATTACGTTATTTACGTTATTTTATTTTAACTCCCAAGAAGAATTATCAATATAATTTTTATACAGGCACAGCTTGCTTAGAATAATGGACAAAATCTACGGCGTAAGGTGGTTGTCCACCTTCGCTGACCCAAGCAGCTCCATTTTTACCTTTTTGAATAAGATCTAACATTGCAAGTGCAACAGGCTCAATGGATTGTTTTGGATAATTCTTGAATTTGTCGTCAACGTTACCTAATACATTGAGAATAAAATCACAGCTTCTCTCATTTTTACCCAGTTCAGTCTCTGTATAACCTGGACACATAATTAAAACTCGTACTCCAGTCTTATCGTAGAAATCTGCTAAAGCCTGACTAAATCCGAGGACTCCATGTTTCGTAGCCGTGTATACTGGTAGAACAGAAAGTGGATGCAATGCGCCTGTAGATGCAACATTCACGATTACACCGCCTTTGCCGCCTTTATGCTTCCCCATGTAATCCATCGCCAAAAAAGAACTATCTATCAGTGCCTTCATATTGACATCAATCGTTCGTTCCCAATTATTGCCTACTACACCAGCGTTGTTGATAAGAATATCAAGTTTTTCGAAGATATCGACGACTTCCTTGAACGTCTTCTGCAAATCTTCTGATTTCGTTATATCGCAAGCAATGAAGATGGCACGATCCTTTCCAAATTCTTTCTCCAAAGTAGCTGCTGCATTTTGACCATTCGATGTTGGTAAGTCGATGATAGCGATACGTTTTGCACCATTACGAAGTAGTATTTCGGCATATTTGTAGCCTATTCCGCGAGCTGCTCCAGTAATCATTGCAGTTTTATTATGTATATTATACATTTTGGTGATCTATTGAAGCTTCAACGATATGTGATCTTCAACGAACTGGACTGTTCAATGCTACGGATTAGATTAACCATAAAGAAAACGTAGCTAACGCAAAATATATTTTGTTTAATATAATTTTATCTTATCATCACTGATAAAAATTAATAGAGTTTAAACTAGAATATATTATGCTAGAAACACGAAGCAAGTTTGCATCTAAAAAATTTAATAATTTACTTGCTAATATCTAACGTGTAAATTTGGTATTCCAGCCCGAATTTTGTTTTTCAAATTATTTAAGAAATTGTATTTAAGCTTAGAAGGGAGCAGCTTATTTATTATATAAAAAAATATATGGGTATATCGTATAAAAAAAAACAATTAAAATTTAATGCTACTCTATAACTTTAATGTATAAACATTTTAGAAAGTAAATATATTTTATAAAATATCACGTAAAGTGCAGCACAGTCATGCCTACAAATGTAACAAGATACAACTAATAAGTAAACATTTTTCCATTAGCATTATTGATAAGAATATCAAGTCTCTCGAATGTATCGACGACTTCCTTAAACGTCTTCTGCAAATCTTCAATGTCTTCTGATTTCGATGTTGGCAAGTCGATTATAGCAATATGTTTATTATTAATTTGCTCTAATGCATAAATATTATAGAAATTAAACATTTTTTTGTAAAATATTACATTCAGAAAACCACAATCACGCACAATCGCTTAGAAGTATTAGAAGGCACAAACAACAAAAAATATTTCTTTAAATATTTCTTTTAAATATTTCTTTGAAATACTCTTGCCTTAAAATTATGAAACTGTAAATGTAATTCACAAAAATTCAAGTTACAATAATATTGCTTAAGTACAAAAAACAGAAAATGCCATTACATCGTTACAATATCACTCACAAACAGATAAATTAAAATTTAAAACAAAATATTTGTTGCACGGACGTATTCGATATTAAAATATTTTCTAAATAAAGTAAAGTTTTGAAATATAGCAATACTTGAAGAATACATAAAAGGACCAAAAGAAATTATGATGTCGTTTTTTTTTCTTCACATTAGATTTTCTTTTATATTTTATTTTTATATAAACACAAATACAATAATTTAATAAAAAACTTTTTTGGCAACTACAAATTAATTTTGGATTGATAACATCTTTTTTCACCTTTACAAAGTTTCTTTTCTACTTCATATAATTAAAAGTTTGTGCCAATTTTTGATATCATGTTTTTTGTAGAAATAATGAAACGATTTTTCAAATAAAAATGAATTACAAAATAAAATGTATTTCAATGTAAAGCTCTTTTCATTTTATTAAATTAACAGTTGGCACCAGTTCTTCATATCACATCTTTTGTACCAATATGAAATTTATTATCAAAAAGACTTTTGTAAATGGAAATTTTTGTATAAAATTCTTTCTTTTACATAAATAAGAAAACGGGCGCGTGAACTTAGGCGTTATTTTTTTATCTTTTTTAAAAGGTAATTTTATAAGGATAAGTTGTACTGAAAGTTTATTCTGACATTTCAAAATAAAAATTATAAGGACTATTTTACTATTATACTTTAAGTATTATACTTTAACTATTATACTTTAACTTTATTATATTTTAAGGACTGTTCATTTTCAAGGGCATTTATATTTTATGAATATGATTAATACGGCTTTTATATCATTTATTTCAAATAATTTCAATTTATATAATTGATATAATACTTTGTAACATTACGTTATTTTATTTAAACTCCAAGAAGAATCGTCAATATAATTTTTATACAGGCACAGCTCGTTTGGTATAATTGACCAAATCTGCGGCATAAGGTTGACCACCTTCACAGACCCAAGCAGCTTCGTTTTTACCTTTCTGGATAAGATCTAACATTGCTAGTGCAACGTGCTCAACAGATTGATTTGGATATTTGCGATTGATGACTGTGTCATCAATGTTGTCTAGTACAGTGCGGACAAGATCACAGGTTTTGTCGAAGACATTTTCAGTCATTTCAGTCTCTGTA